AAAGAGCACAAAACTGGCCCGAGAGGACAGGGCGCGGGCAGGGACAGTGGGAGGGGCAGGGCGCCACTTGTCGAGCTGGCACTGGAGGCCTCTTTCTCCTCCAGGCCTCCCCCACTCCACTCCTGACCCAGAGCGGCCAGAGCGGCTGACCCTCCACGAACGCAGCCAGGGCCCCAGGCGAGGCCGCTGCAGAGGACGGGAGCTTACCCTCAGTCCTGCAGCAACCCGGAGGCCAGGGCCGGTTTGTCCACCGAGGAAGCAGTTCTGAGAGAAGGAACTTGCTGGGTATCAAGTTAGTTAATAAACAGCAGAGTTGGAATGAAACCAGATTTCCTCAACACCTCTGGAGTCCACTGTGCTCTCTCTGCTGCCCCATGTTTCCTGTGCGTCTGAAACCTGGACGATCTCCAGAGCTCAGAGCAGCGGGAGCCTTCAGAGGCAGTCCCTGATCCAACACTTGGGCTCTGGCCCTCTACCCCAAGGGCTCCACGTCCTGTACCCCCTTTGCCTTTTCCACCTGCCTCCCCCTCTTCTCAGCTCTTGCCCCCCATTACAGCTGTGATCAGCAGCACCGAGGCCCTCTGGGTGGGGCAGCACACCTGACCTGCTCTTGTGCCAGGGGATTGGCCAGAGCGAAGGGTAGTGCCCATCTCCAGCATGGTTGTTCCTGATCCAACCCTCCTGCAGCCTCCTCTTGGTTTGTTTTTGAGGCAAACCTCTTGGTTTGTTTCACTATGTGGCCCAGGCTGGCCTTGATCTCATTTTGTAGCCCAGGCTGGCCACGAACTTGTGGCGATCCTCCCACCTCAGCCTCCTGGGTGCTGAATTACAGGAGTGTGCCAACATGCCCGGCCTCCAGCCTTCTCTTTGAAGAGGAAAGAGGGGTTTGGATAAACAGGCATCTCTGGAAATAAGGTTATCTCCTTGGACGAGGAAGATTAAGACTATCAAGTCCTGCCTAGGTCCCAGGCCAAGTCCAGCAGGTACTACAGAGACCTAATGAAGGAAAAGCCTCACTGTTGCCCTGTGCACTAGGGAGAGTGCATCTAGCAGAGGAAAAAATGACAGAAAGGAAAGAAAAACAGGCTGGGATTGTAAGGCACTCACACAGCACTTGCTTAGTAGGAGTTCGGGTTCAGTCCATAGCACCACACACACACATACACACTCCACAAACACACACGCACACACATGCACACACACACACCGCAAACACTTGCTATGAAGGAAACAAAGGAGGCGCAGCGGTTGGGGATGAGGCCGGGACCCCAGATCAAGGAAGGACACAGCACACAGGACGACTCTGGGGGAGCCGGAAGTGGCGGGCAGAAGGCCAGGGCTGGGAATGGGGTGGCGCAGTGGAGCTGGTCCAGCCGCTGGTCTCACCCGGCCTTCCTGGCCTCAGCTCCGGCCCTGGTGGGCTTCGGGATTGGTTCCCAACCTTTCCCACATCCTGGTGGAGGAGGGGAAGGGCAGGGCCCGGTCACCGGGGGTGCCGGCAGGGGGTGAGATCGGCAAAAGGGTGGGAAGCAAGCCCAGCCGTGTGTCCGGTCCTCCACCACCTGGACTGCTGCAAAGACAGATGTGTGGGGTGTGGGGCCAGCAGATCCCAACAGCCCTTTCATTTTTCCTCCCTGCCTGATGCCCTGCAGAATTTTCCATGATAAACAAGTTGTGCACTCCCGGGTCCGCCCCGCCTCTCCCATGACAGTTTTCTTCCCTCAGCGCGGTTTCTCCCACCCCACCTTTTGTCTGTGCACAGGGTCTGCCTACATGTGGAAGCATGTGCCGTCTCCGTAGCGTGACCCGACTCCGGGTGTACCAAGCACGCAGTTCCACCATGCTTGGGCAGAAATCTAAGGTTGAGGCTAGGCACGGTGACGCACACCTGAAATCCCAGCTCTTGGGAGGCTGAGGCAGGAGGAGCACCATGAGACTGAGGGCAGTTTGGGCTACTTTGGAAATTCAAGGCCACCCTGAACACATACCAAGACTCCATCTCCAAAAAAAAAATCCAAGGATGAGTGGAAAGTATACTTTTTGTAGAAGAGATGTGTGATATAGCAGGGGCCTCTAGTGTAACAGGAGTAATAGATGTAAATAAAGGACTTTTATTTACTGTATAAATAATAAAGCAACAATATACACAATTGTATACACAGCAACAATGTATCAATTTCCAACCAGACTGTAGGGCTTATTTGCCTTCCCACCCATGGGGGGGGGCGGTGTTGGAAAATGCTTTCATGTTTCTTGTTTGATGTCTGTGTAAGAATTGTTGCAGCTTTTCTGAAGACATTGTAAATTTTTACTGGGCATTTACAGGACTGTATCCTGTCTCAGAAACCCGGGAGGACCCAGCCAGAGTCTAATACTGTGTACCATTATGGTTCTGCTTTTTTATCTTTCACTTAACAAGATTACTGAGCAACTCCCACCCACAAGGCACCATGTAGGCAGCACAATCTCTAGCAGAAGGGGCCTGTGTTACAGGCTTAACACAATGGTACAAACTTTACACACTGTAGGAGCCAAGCCAGATGTACCTCAAAGCCCAGGGGTCAGCCCCCATCCTGCTAGCCTCTTCGTGATGGTCAGCTTGCTGCTGACTCCTGGTGATCTTGTGCGAGCAGTGGTTTCAGCCACCTTCTCCCATCTGTGCTCCTCCTACCCGAGCCCCCACAATAGCCTCCTGTCCCAGGCCTCATCTCCTCCGGCCTCGGTGGTCTCACGGACAGCCTTCATCCCAGGCAGTTCCCCGATTCTTATCCTCAGAGCCATGAGCTCCACAGTCTAGGGCAGTGGTGACAAACCATGGCACACATGCCACAGTGGCACGCAGATCCCACTCTGTCAGCACACGACCCAAGGTTGGACAGATGATGGGCATGCATACAACAGCAAAGATCACATTAACTGCAAAAACTGCTCAAAATGCAAACTTTTACCTTGCAGTAAAAACTGTATCATTGAAAGCTTTGTTATTGTAGTTTTCTTTTAAGACAAAGGATACTAATCTGTGAGTTGATTTTGCTAAACTACAATATCAGTATAGAGCCAGGCATGGTGGCACAGGCCTGTAATCCCAGCACTCGGGAGGCTGAGGCAGGAGGATTGTTGTGAGTTCGAGACCAGCCTGGGCTACAAAGTGAGCTCAAGGCCAGCCTGAACTACATAGCAAGACCCTGTCTCAAAAAGACAAAAACAAATAATAACAACAACAAAAACCCTCAGTATTGAGGTTTGATTGCAGTGTTGACCCTCTGCCATAAATAAATGGGTTTGGGGTTGCAGCTGGGTGCTCATTCTCCAAAAGGTTTGCCATCACTGATCCAGGGTGACCTGCCAGAGAAACCTCCCCCGCTGCTAGACTCCCTTCCTTGCTCTGTCCTCAGCACTTCCCACTCCTCCTGTACGGGAAACTTACCCTGAAATGGGGGCAGTCCCCAAACACATCCTGTACTTTTCCAGCTCAAGGCCTTTGCTGGTCCCATGTCCTTCTCAGTCACCCTTCCACGTCTGAATTTGTCACATCCCACTCACTGCTCCAGGTCATCTCAAATGCCACACTTCCTGAGGCCCCGGGGATCAGCCAGGCATCAACACCCGTTCTTCTGGACCCTCAGCTGAGGGCAGACCTTCTGGTTAGGATCCCCCTGACCTGGCCCGGCAGAGGACAAGGTCCTCAAAGCCAAAGCGACAGCATGTCAGGCCTGCAGCGCTCAGCAGCACAGACACTGCCGCCAGCCTCGGAACTCAGCAGAGCTGGGTTGTCCTCCTTCAGCTGGATCTCACTATGTTCCCCAGGCTAGTTCCAAACTCCTGGGTACTGGGGCCAGGGATATAGCTCAGCGGTACAAGCGTCTGCCTGGTAAGCCCAAGGTCCTGAGTTCGATTCCCAGTAACAAAAAAACAAACAAAAAACCATGAAAACCAAACTTCTGGGTACAAGGAATCTTCCACCTCAGCCTCCAGAGTAGCAGAGAACACAGGGACACACAGCCCGGCGTAGTGGGGCATGCCTGCAATCCCAGCACTCGGGAGGCTGAGGCAGGAGGATGGATCATTGCGAGTTCGAGACCAGCCTGGGCTACAAAGTGAGCTCAAGTTCAGGTCCCACCTGAACTACATAGTGAGACCCTGTCTCAAAAAGACAAAAAAAAAAAAAAAAAAAGAACAGAGGGATACAGACCACATCTGGCTTCAACATTCCTTCTAAGCTAGGCATGGTGGCACACACATCTCAGACAGGTAGGGAAAGGAGTCAGCTCGTGCCGAGGGATCGCCATCATGACAACATCTGTACACTCACACTTTATAGAGTTCTTCAGTGCATTTCGTTGTTTGACCCACACGAGGGCCCCATGGGGTGACTGCTGACTGCCGCAACTCACAACTCTGCGCAGCGGCTTTGCGGGGACACCACCTCCTCCACACCCAAGGCGGAGGCTGTCCAGTGCATCCCCCGGGCGGGCGAGGGCGGGCTGCGCTGCGTGCGGACAGCGCGTGACCGTGGTGCGTGCGTGTGACTCGTGCTCGCGTGTCCCCACGTGTGCTGGCCGCGCAGGGCCGTGTCTGGACTACAGTGCTCCTTTCTTAGCCTTCTGGCCGGTTCTGCGAGGACTTCCCTCGAGGCCTGTTTGCTCTGCACCCACCAGTTGTGAACGCGCTTTCCAACAGCTCCCCTGGACTTACAGGTGGGTACTGCAGCGGGACCCCGGGCCTCGCGCTGTAACCAGCCCTGCCCCCAGCCCCGCCCAGGCTCCCCGGGGCGGCTGCAGAAGCGTCTCTAAACCGTGTGCGCCCCTGCACCCGCCACAGGTCCGGACACGTGCCCGCCCCGGGCGAGACCTTGGTATCTGCTGCGCAGGCGCCGGGGCCAGGCCCGTGAGTCCCTTGCCCAACCCTCGGAATTTCCAGCCTGCTCCAACCACCGCTCCCCTGCGATGGGGACGGAGTCCGAGGCCCCGCCCTCTACTCGGACTACTTAAGCGGCGCGTGCGGCCCGGCGCGCATTCTGCCGTCTGTTGACCTGCGCGCCATGTGTCGCTCGTTTTCTTCGCTGCCCACCGTGACCGGCCTGTGGGCCCTGGAGCCCGCTTCCTCCTCCGGCTTCGGGCTGCGGCGGGCCTCGGGCCCGGAGATCTTCACCTTCGATCCCCTTCCGGAACCCGCGGCCTTCCCCGCCTGCCGTCGCCGCGCCTCCCGCGGGCACAGAAAGCGCAATCGCCGGGTCCTGTACCCGCGAGCGGTGAGTGTCGCCGGGACGCCCGCCCGGGGCCGTGGGGTCGCCTGCGCGTCGGGGCGACCGCCTGACCTCCCCCGCCTTGTCTCCCGCAGGTCCGGCGCCCACTGCCCGCCGAGGCACCGAATTCGGCCAAGAGGCTCCTGTTCGTCCTGCTCGCCGTGGTCTTCTGCCAGGTCCTGATGGCCGAGGAGGGCGCGTCGGTGTCCCTGGCCCCGGAGGACACGCCCGCCGCCGAGCCCCCCGCGCCCGCGCCCGCGCCCGCCGCCCTCGAGCCCTGCAACCTGACCTCGCCGCCCGCCGACCTCGCGCCGGACCTGCGCGCCTTCCTGCGGCAGCACCCGACCTCCTTCTGAGCGGCGCCGCCCGCCGAGGCCAGAACCAGGCACCAGGCGGAGCTGGTGCGCGCGAGCGTATCCCACACTGGGACCCCGGACCGAAACACTAACTTATTCTGCCTGCTCCTCATTAGTATTTATGCGTATTTATGTATCCTCGGGTGACGTGTAATATTTATTGTAACTTATGCGAGGGCCGCGATGCGCGCCTCTCTGAACGCCGGTCTCGGCATTTATTAGACGCAAGTTGGTGGAGGCCGGGCCGGGCCGCAGATTCCGGCGGGTCTCCAGGGAGGGGCGCTGGGCCGTGGGGTCGGGGTCGCTCAGTATGTTCTGTGAACACAAATAAACCTGGTTTATACCGGCGTCCTGTGTGAGTCCTTGCGCGCTTTGACCTCCGTCGCGCGGTCCGCGTTCTCCCGCGGTGCGA